TGGTTTGGCTCAGTGGACAGAGCATTGGCCTGCGGACTAAAGGGGCTCAGGTCCGATTCCCGCCAAGGACACATGCCCGGGTTGCGGACTTGATCCCCTCTATTCTCTCCCTTCCTCTCTGAAATCAATAAATACATTTTTTTTTAAAAAAAGGGAACATCATTTTGTTTTGACAGGCTCCAAAATAAACCCTAAGTGTTTTCCACAGCCTAATTCTAAACGATTCAAGTTGGAAAAGCAACTTCTTGTTTAAGAAATGTGTAACAAAAAGTCCTTTTAGGAAATGAGTTTTATTTTCAATGCTGTTGAGTTCCAAAAGCCTGCGTGTTTGCTTTTTCCTCCCACCAGGCTTACCTACAAGTCAGGATTCCAAAACCCACAACAAACAAACACCTATGAGATCCAGGTTCTGACCACCAGCGTTTCATTTTGGCAATTAAACCAGGACTTTCTTTTAAAGCAGTTTTTTTTTTTTTTTTTTGAAGAACTTTTTTTTTTTTTAAATATATTTTATTGATTTTTTACAGAGAGGAAGGGAGAGAGATAGAGAGTTAGAAACATCGATGAGAGAGAAACATCGATCAGCTGCCTCCTGCACATCTCCCATTGGGGATGTGCCGGCAACCCAGGTACATGCCCTTGACCGGAATCGAACCTGGAACCTTTCAGTCCGCAAGCCGACGCTCTATCCACTGAGCCAAACCGGTTTTGGCTTAAAGCAGTTTTTATACAAAATGCTCAAATGAAGCTTATTCTTTTTCCAACCTTGAAATCACCCATTTGAAAAACAGACCCTAAAACCCCAAGCTTTCAGAACTAGGTCCCAATATTACCGCATAAATCACTCTCACTCTAAAAATTGTACAATTAATGGCCCATTTAACAGAGGGCTTTCAAGGCAAGGCATAATTTCTCATAAGACATCTGCCTGCCCCTGCCAACTCTTCTGTACATCTCTTCCGTGGGAACCAATAAGACTTCACCCTTAAAGTCCTAGGGACGACAGCTACACTGTAATCCAAGCGCGCCTACTGGGACAGAGAAGGAACTGAACACAGACCCAGCAACAATGAACTTCGTTATTCACTGAATCTAATAAAGAGGCTGCATCAAACTTAAAAGCCAACCTTTCTGGTTCAGATCCTTGGAAATAAATGATTTCTAAAAATGTGTAATTCGAACCAAAAGGGATAGGATTCCAAACCAATAAAACTATCCAGACATGTTCTTTTTTCTATAAAGAAGGCAATGTTATCACAGTCCCTTACATAAACCCTCCTGAAACTCCTTGAGTAGACAACATTTCAATGCACAGACCAACTGAAAATATCTTCAAAAAAACAACAGTGACGTGGCCAGGAAACCAAGTGTATCTTGTGAACAGTTTTTTCACCCACCACGAGCTTGGGCTTTCTGGGAAGGTCACCAGTTTTCCGGTCAAAAACATTCTTGAAGTTGTCAGAAATGGAGGGAGGCTTGGCATCTGGGAAGGTGTGTTACTGGTTCAGTATCTGGAGCTCAGGAGCCAAAGAGCCTGGAAAATTCAGAGGGCAGAAATGTCTGTGAGAATGGGAAGCTGTCACTCTGAAAGCATTTTTAGAAAACATTTTATGTTGCTTTTAAGATTATTTTTCATCATTTTCTGATCTAATAAGTAACTCTTCTGTTATACAATACTGTGAACACTATCAAACTATACACGTAAAAGAAAAATGTAACTGTAAAGAATTATCCACTTCATACAAATTTGCAACATTTTATTTGCACCTATTCTCCATTACTGCAAGTCAGTGGTAACTTTCTTATCAAAAAGACCTTTGAATAAACAAATGATTACAGTTAACTTTGTTCACTGAAGAAAATCTGGAATAGGAAAGGCCTGGAAACTGTAATAAATATTTCTGAAGTTTGAGAATGGGTATGTAGGCTACAACACAGGCCTACTGGGGAAAAACCATAGAGGTGTTAAAAAGAGATACAGCCCAGCCTTCGCCGGTTTGGCTCAGTGGATAGAACGTCAGCCTGTGGACCGAAAGGTCTTGGGTTTGATTCTGGTCAAGGGCACATACCTTGATTGCAGGCTCCCCAATCTGGGCCCTGGTCAGGGTGCATGCTGGAGGCAACCAATCAATGTGTTTCTCTCATTTCGATGTTTCTCTCTCTCCTCTGTATCTCTTCCCCCCTCCCTCCTTTCCACTCTCTCTTTTCAAAGTTGCCCGGGTTGCAGGCTCAATCCCCAGTGTGGGGCATGCAGGAGGCAGCCAATCAATGATTCTCTCTCATAACTGATGTTTCTATCTCTCTCTCTCTCTCCCCTTACTCTCTGAGATCAATAAAAATATACTTCATATATATACATATATATATATAGGAATTCTCTGTATTATCTTTGCAGCATTTCCATAAATCTAAATATTTTCCAAAATAAAAAGATTATTAAAAATCAAACAAAACAGATAGTGTAGGAACAATTGGATTGCCACATACCAAAGAATGAAGTTGGATCTCTACCCACACCACATACAAAAATTACCTCAAACTGGACTGATTATTAAAATTAAAACTATAAAATTCTTAGTGACAAAAAGAAAAAAAGAGACCGGACTTCATCAAAATTAAACATTTTTGTGCTTCAAATGACAGCATCAAGAAAGTGAAAAGACAACCCCCCAAAAATGGGGGCTATTACTTGCAAATCATGTATCTGACAAGGGACTGGTATCTAGAATATACAAAGAACTTACAACTCAGTAAAACCCAATTTAAAAATGAGCAAAGAGCTCTTGTGGGCGGGGGTGAACTCGAAAAGAACGCTGTGAAGGTCTTGGGCACATTTCGAGAGCACAAGGTGGTGGGGTGCTGCCTGCCCACCCCTAAGTGCCACACACTGCTCCTCAACCACATGTGCATCTTTCCATCTGACCGTGTTGGTGCCAAGTCCCGCATCTGGTACTTTATTTCAACTGAAGAAGATGAAGTCTACAGGGGAAATTGGCCACCGTGGGCAGGTGTTTGAAAAATCCTCTCTTGGGGCGAAAAACTTTGGCATCTGGCTGAGCTAAAACGCCCACAGTGGCACCCACAACATGTACCCAGAGCACCAAGACCTGACCATTATGGGTGCTGTCACCCAGTGCTACTGAGACATGGGAACCCAGCACTGTGCCCAAACCCACTCAATCCAGATCGTGAAGATGGAGGAGATCATGGCCAGCAAGTGCTGCCAACCAGCAGTCAAGGACTCCAAGATCAAGTTCCCACTGCCCATCAGGTCCTTCCTTGCTAGCACAGTCACGCTTCACAACTGAGAGGCCAGACACCTTCATATAATTTTTCTTTTAAAAAATCCTCACCTAATTGATTTTATTGATTTTAGAGAGAGAAGAAGGGGGAGAGAGAGAAAGGGGAAGAGAGGAAGAGAAACATCTCTGTGAGAGAGAAACATTGACTGATCGCCTCCCCTACATGCCCCAACAAGGGATTGAAACTGAAACCTAGATATGTGCCCTGACCTGGAATTGAACTCTCGGCCTTTTGGTGTACAGGACAATGCTCCAACCAACTGAGCCACCTGGCCAGGGCCCAACACCTTCTTTTAGATGCAGGGCCTCCTTGTCCCCTACTCCTTGGAAAAACCAGGTTGCTCAGGGGAAAAAACAAAGGGCAAAGGATCTCAACAGACATTTCTCCAAAGATAAACAGATGGCCAATAGCACCTGAAGAGATGCTCAAAGTCATTAACCATCAGGGAATGCAAATCAACCTTTACCTCTACTAGGATGGTCATAATAAAAAAGTCTGACCATCACAAGCGTTGGCAAGGATGTGGGGAAATTGAAACCGTCACACGCTGCTGGTGGGAATGTAAATCGCTGCAGCTACTTTGTAAAATAGTCTGGTGCTTCCTCAAAAGGATGAATATAGAGTTACCGATAGGCCCAGCAATTTCACTCATGAGTATATACCAGAGAACTGAAAACAAATGTTCATGCCAGCATTATTCATAATAGCCAAAAAATAGAAACATCCCAAATATCCATCAACTGATGAATGGATGAACCAACTGTGGCATATCCATACAATAAACTATTATTCAGCCACAGAAAGGAATGAAGTCCTGATTCATGTACAACACTGAAGAAACCAGAAGACATTATGCTCGTGAAAAAAGCCAGACACGAAAGCCACATATTACATGATTCCATTTATATGAAATATCAAGAACAGACAATTAACGAAATAAACTGTGGAACTGAGTGGATCCAGAGACATGGAAGCATGGAACAGAGTGCAGAATCTGAGGGAAGGTGGGGGGAGAGTGGGTGGGTGGAAGGTAATCAACCAAAGACCTTGTATGTATATATGCATAACCCATGGACACAGACAATAGGGTGGTTAGGGTCTGGGGTGGAGGGCTGGGGGAGGGGCTGGAGGGAGAGGACACAGACAATAGGGTGGTAAAGGCCTGAAGTGGGGGACTGGGGGGAGGGGCTGGAGGGAGAATATGGGGGGAAAAGGGGGACATGTGTAATACTTTCAACAATAAAGATTTAAAAAAACAACAACAACAGACAAATCCGTAGAGATATAAAGTCTATCAGTGGTTACCAGAGGCTGGGGAGAAGAAACAGGAGCGACTGCTTAATGGGTATGGAGTTTCCCTTTGGGGGTGCTGAACTTATTCTAGAATTAGACCGTGGTGATGGTTGCACAACTTTGTGAATGTACTCAAAAATCTTGAATTGTGAAAAACAACTTCCACTTTTTACTTATTTATCTTTCTCTGTGGTTTGACACCCTCATTTTCTTCCTATCTTCCTTCCAATATTTTGTTATGAAGATTTCAACAAAGAGTTCAAAAAACAGTTCAGTGAACAGCCACATACACACCACCTACATTCTGCAATTAACATTTTGCTTTATTGTGCATCTATCTATTCATCTGTCTACCTTACTTTTGATGGGTTTCAAACTAAGATGCAGATATCAGTACCTTGGTCCCTAAAAATTCAGGCACGTTTTTCCACATTTAAAGTTTTCCATGACTTTTTAAAATTTCCAAAGTAGCCCAGCTCAAACAATATAGAAGTGGGTGTATGGAATAGCAAATCATCTCTCTGATCCTGCTACAGTGACAACCATAGACAGTCTGGAGTAGATCCTTCCAACTCCCTTGCTGGAAGTGTTTCCATCACAGACTTCAGCATGCACTCAGCACTTATTCAATGTTTACTGTGTGCAAATCACAACTGAAGCCAGAGTATGCATACAGGTGACATAAGCCTTCTTTACGCTCAAAACATTTCCCAGTGTAGACATACCCTCTGGCACATTATCACTGATGACATCGTGACAGTTGGTCACATGGGTGTCCTTTAAGTTACCTGATTCTTCCCCTGTTCTTGGACATTTAGGTGATTTCCAGTGTTTTAACACCCTGGAAAAGCCAGTCACTATCTCCCTGACACCTCATTCTGGAGGGAATCTTCCCTCACCTATGACCCCGACAGGAAGAGCTGGCTGAGGTCAGGGTTCAGCACACTCTGTAAAAGGCCACACATAGGCAGTTCAGCCTGTGTGGGCCGAGGGAGTCTGTCACAATGCCCCAACCGCTTTAGCGCAAAAGCAGTCACAAACGTGGCGTGGCTGTGTGGCAATAAACTTCATTCATGAAAACAGGCAGGGAGCAGATATGACCCATGGGCTGTGGCTTGCTAACCCCTGACCTCAGTTGTTAGGCTAGAACCAGGAACCTCCAACCCAACTAGAACTGGATGATCTAAATAGGTCAATCAGACTTTGCTCCCAGGAAATGAAATCAGGACACTGGGCTACTGACTAAGCTTGCCTTGGGCTGAGCTGTGAGATCACGGAGTCTGAGGCTACACCTTCTGGTCACAGGATTCTAGTTAGACGAGAGAGGACAATAGAGCCAATGGACAGAAAAGAACAGAATGATAAAAACACACCAAGTTCTTCCCTGCCCCAAGCCCTTTGTACATGCTGCTTCCAGTGCTAACATGCCTCTGCCTAGCTCTACAAATTGGACTTTCTGTTGTTCATTTTCTTTTACCAATTTTATTTTCATTTTTATTGATTTTAGAGAGAGAATAAGAGAGAGAGAAACATTGACTTGTTCCACCCATCTGTGCGTTCATTGGTTGACTCGTATACATGCCCTGACTAGGGATCGAACACGCAACCTTGGCGTATCGGGATGATGCTATGGTGTTCCCCGGCCAGGCACTGGTGTTCTTGATTTAAACGGCAAGCAATCAAAGAGCCTCTTCCTGTCGCCTTCTAAACTGGGAGACTCCCTCCTTTTGCTACCTCACAATTGACTTTTCCCCCATTTCTTTGTTTTGTCTGTATTCCACCTGTCATACTGTGCATTCACTAAAGGGAGGGACTATGGCTGTCTTAGTTATTACCCCAGAGCACAGCCCACAATGTATAGTTGTGAATGAGTAAGTGAATGGATGGATGGATAGGTAGGAACCTAGAGAGACAAAGGCTAGAGGAGCACTTTGCCACCCCCAGAGCTTTTTTCCCATGAGTCCTAGTTACACCACCTGTACTCTTTGGCAAATTCCTTATATCTTCGTGAGCCTCTTTGTACCTGAGCAGGCCTCATCCAAGCTCCCAAAAAGGACCTCTCTGTATATCTATTAAGGTCCTCATTCTGGGCTCCAAAACCTTTCCTAGTGGCACAATGAACCCCCCTCATCTTCCAGCCCCTAAGTCAGGGTGGGGAACCTTTTTCCTGCCAAGGGACATTTGGATCTTTAT